GATATCATTAATAGCTGCAGAAGTAGCATCAATATGATCACGCTTGAATCGTTTATGAATTCGTTGTTGTTCCGCCCAAAGTATCTTCAAAAAATTTTCTTTCTTCTTTTCGAAAAAGAAAGAAAAGAAGGATCGGTTTTAAAACAAAAACTTGAACTCGCCTTTATTTCAACGAGCCATAAAGCTTTCTTTGTTTTATGAAGCTTTTGAAACTTGAAAATTACAAGAAGAAAAAATGTGAATATGTTGAAACGTGAAAAGTTACGGTATGAGAGTAATGAAATATCAATGAACCTGAAAACCTGAAACAAACAAAGAAATCAATGCAAACATGTTTGTGGCGACGAAGTGCTAAAGCTGATTTACTGTCTACTTTTCTTTTTCCTCTGTGATTTTCTTTTGAAAAAACGTAAATATTATTGAAACCGCGGACCTGAAATAAATTCGAATTCGAATAGGATAATTTGATAATCAAATCATAGGATAGAATATTGCTCATAGTATTATATGTTATCTCGAAACTACTTATTCTAAAATGGAAAAACATGAAGAAATCGATAATTTGAAAATATTCTAATCAATGATTTCACTGTCTAACTTTTAATATTGCGGTATGGAAACATAAAACATACAGGAGCAATATATTTATATCCGACCATCCGAGCGATATCTTTTGCTTCTTGTGGTCCACCCATGACTTCTACCACCCACTCATTATCATATTCTTCTTCATCATCAGTCTCAAAAATGAAATTTATTAAAAATATCACTTTGTAACAATTATCTTTGGCATAGAAAGAAGCATGTGATAAGCAATGACGAATGACGTAGTGAATTATCACTCATTCAAAACGATAAAATATCTGCAGGAATAATCACTGATATGCGTGCATCGGGACTTTCCTGTTTATCATTCGCTACAACTAGGATGGACACGTTATTGATCTAATAGTCCATATTCCAAACTCTTTGATTTAATCATTTACTAATTAGTTTGTCAACAGATTCAAGAGTCAACGTCGTGCAATTTATCGAAAGAAGTTCGAGGTAAAAAGGCTTTTAGACGGGGTGTAAGGTTTGTTAACAAAGATTAATCATTACCTGATCATTGTCGGGAGCGATATTTACTTGCTGTAACTTTTCACTCAACCGCAGAAATTCTGGTAACAATGTGATTAGCTTTCTTTCACCATTATTTGTATCCCAAGCTTTTCGATGAAATGAGACATATACAGGTATTGTAATAATTATGCAAACAAAGAGCCCAATAGTTACTAATAGAATTGGATAAATTCTAGAAATTTGAAATATCAATAAGAATGGAATCATGAATTTTATTCCTGAAAGAACTGAATATAAAATTCCGGGAATTATGTCAGTTCAAAATCAAAATTCAAAATTTTGAAAATTTATAAAATACCAAAAATACAGATTTTTGATCACTCAAATTTCCATAAATTAAGAAAAACAAAACAAGCATTTATTTTTAAAAAATTGAAATGCAAAATTTATAACACAATAATAACAAAAAATTCTTTCTTTTAATTTCTAATTAAAATTTGCTAAGAAAATTAAATATAATAAGTTTGCACAAAATGAAAAATAATGAAAAATAATGCAGTAAAATAATTTCAGTTTTTATGCTCATTTCATATTTGCCAAATTTTAATACATCAACTTCAACATATTACATTAATATCACATAAAATATTCAAATAAACCATTTTGCTTATATAATTTAAAATATTAACTTGCAATGAAAAAGAGGAGCAAAAAAAAGAAAATAAAAGAATGGAATGATTTGTGTTGAAATAGATTATATATGAAATGATGCAAAATTGACTGAAATAGTACCACATAATAATTATCATCCGTGAAAGCAATACGGTGGAAAGAGCAGGGTAAATTAAATATTATAAAAAAGCAAAAATAATGATCGATGCTTCTTCATCTTAATCATTGTTATCTTTTTTCCCTCTTCTTCTTCTACTTCATAAATATCCGTACAATTATTATTAGTTATACATATGCTTCTCTAACAATCAATTTCTTTTTAATTTTCATATTAACTATTCTTATATCATATAAAATAAAAAAATGCTTTATTAACTTTTTATGTAAAACAAAAAGCAGTTTGTTTAATCATTCCATTTCATAGCTATTTATTTATTCATTTATCATTGATTTCTTATGCTTCATTTCAAATTTCACTTAAAATAATTCATTTCATTTTTAGTTGTTTTGTTTTTTGTTTTTTTTTAACAATCTAAATATTATCATAAGTTTATCCAATTATCATTTAGAAGAATTTTAAAGTTCAATTAATATGTTTCTTAACAATCTAAATATTATCATAAGTTTATCCAATTATCATTTAGTAGAATTTTAAAGTTCAATTAATATTAAACATATGTGTTCTTACATATGTATTCATTTAAACGTATAAAAAAAGAAATGAGTGATTATTCGAACTTCCGATCATTTAAATATTCTTTAAAACAAAAACAATACATAATAAAATGTGATAATCAATTAGAATTTTAATTTTAATTTTAATTTTCTCCTTTTCTTTTTTAAAAAAAAGCAGAAAATAATATTTAATTATTATAAAAACAATTTATACCAATGATAATTATAAAATATAGTTTAAAAAAAGATAAAAGAAAAATAATTGAAAAATGCTAAATAATTTCAGTTAATTAATTTCAATTGTTTGCAAATAAGTGTTGTTAATAAAGGCTTCCAACAACCTCTCTCTCTCTCTCTCTCTCTCTCTCTCTCTCTCTCTCTCTCTCTTCCTCTCTCTATACCTCTCTCTTCGTTTCATATCAAATTGTTTTATAAATTTTTGAAATACTGAAAACAATTACTCTCTTTTTTTCTCTCATATAATATAATGATTGATAGATAAGATATGAGAAATTAAAGTTAAAACTTGTCTTCAAATATATTTTAACTAAAAACTCGTTTACAAATATAAGCAATTAACATTCAAATTAATATTTCTTCCTTCTTTTGTTTTTTTTTCCTTTCAGATTATCGAAAAATAAACGAAAAAAATTATTTGAAAAATTTTTTCAAATTTAAAAAGAAAAATTTGTTATTATACTAAAACTTATTTTTAATTAAATGTTACATTTAAATTATATTAACTATGCATTATCGATTTTACGAAATTAAATGAAATGGTTATTTAGTGCTATTAATATATTAATAAAAGTTCGTTTCGATAATTATGTCGTTTCAAAATTTCCGACGTAAAAAGACTGCATGTAAAATGATTGCGCAATTTCTCATATCAAAATGAAATTAGGAAATCTTTAAATTGTAAAAATTCGCATCAATCAGTAAATTGAGTGAAATGATTATCAGCTTATCAGAAATATTCAAAAATATTTTTGAGCGAAATAATCATTTAATTTTAAATGAACTGTGCATCTTTGTAAGGTTACTAGTGTGAGATGATAATTCTATGAATAACTAAGAAAAATTTAGCTTAGTAAAGTTTGGCATTTTTATCCATTATTAAATTCATATTTTGATGATATATAAAAAGGTAAACTGATGATATATGAAAAGGTAAAATTGAATGGTATAATTTAGAAAGAATATCATTGTGATGGCTAACTTTTTCCTCTCTAAGTATGTTAATTTGAATTTCTTTAATTAAAAAATGTCTTCATTATTTTAGTAATTCATTTATTCATTTCAGTAGTGTTTCTCTTTTTTCAGTTCAACCATTAAAAAACTTTAGTTTTCTTAATTTCATTAAGTATTTCGATAGTAATTTAGTCAAACAATACTGGCACTTTAATAATTCCTTTCTATAATTCAATATTCTAATGTCCATTTTTCAATTCCACAATCCAATGCATCTTCCCCGGTAACTGTTCAAGAACTTGATTGGTTCAATTTAAGTCTTCGTAATCAAAAATTTCCAATAAATCTTCTCGGTAACTGATCAAAAACTTGATTGGTTCATCATGTTGATTTAAGTCTTCGTAATCAAAAATTTCTCTGAAGCAAAACATTTGCATTATGTTGAAGTTATGGTCGTTCATCGTGATTTAATGAATTTGCAAATCGTAAAATTACCTAGTTACGGCGTAATTAACGTTGATTTCGTAAGGCAAGTTGTTAATATGTGTGAAATATTTGATGGATACTTCGGATAAAGGTGTTGGATGTGTACTTTTTTGTATTCTCAGAATTCAATTTTTTTGCAATTACAGTGCTCACCATTAATGGGGGAAGGAGAGGAAGTGGCGCAGATTGGTACCTGCAAATGGTTCAATGTTCTAAAAGGTTATGGTTTCATCACACCTGACGAAGGTGGGAATGACGTATTTGTCCATCAGGCAAGTGAAATTTTTTTTAGTCTTTTTGAAATGAGTAACTTTAAAATGGCTTAAAGCAAAGTTACTTTGCAGACTTCAACAAATCTTATCGTTTATAGCATACTTCGAAGTTGACTAGTGTGATTGTAATTGCTTAAATTGCAATGGTGGATGTAATTCTTCTTTTCCTGTTGCAGTCTGAGTTAAATATGGATGGTTTCCGAAGTTTGGATGCTGGTGAACGTGTTCGTTTTGTGATCCGGAAGAAGCCGGAAGGTAACGAAGCAACAGCTGTTAAAAGTGCAGAACCTGGTGGAAAACTGAAGGGAAGTTCTATCAGACCTCTTGGAAAAAATAAGTCACATGTTATAAGGTTATCAATTTATATCATTTTTCTGATTATTTAAAAAATGAGCAAATTGGTCAGATCCATTGCTTAACTTAGTTAATTTAGTTTAACTTTGCTGTTGATTTAATTTTTTGGTATCTGAATGATTAGATTCATTTTCTGCCTTTTTTATTTGCCAGATTGATAACACATGCAGATTTATGAGGATTTAACTTCTATGTAAGGCGTAACTAAGGTTGGCAAATACTTTTATCAATAATTTCCTTCATTTTCTATTCGAGTTACGCTCCATTAATTGGATTTTTAATTTCACTTACGGTATATAAATGGTATCTTTTTCATAATGAGGATTGAACCAAAGAAGGCATGAAAGCCTTCATCAATGGCTGAGATTGTTGGACGGGATTTTAATTCCATAAAATATGTACAAAAAATTGTTTGAAGTCTTTTCTTGGTATCTAAAAGTAATTTTTTTTCATCAGAAAGTAGCTGATTATTCGCAATTGCAGGTGTTTTAAATGTGGCCATTACGGGAATCATACGGCAGCCAAGTGTAAAACATCGGTGGGAGTCGAGAAAGCGTGCTATGGATGTCTTGCAGCCGATCATTTAGTCGCTGATTGCCCACAAAAAGTATACTTTAAAAATGATAATAAAACAAAAAATAACGGCACTGAAGAAAGCGATGCGAATGAGGAAGTGGTGAAAGCAGAGAGTACTAAAGAACAACAATTAAAAACGAAAAAGGAAAAGGCTGATTCGAAGATGAAAGAAATTACCGTCGACAAAGACAATGTCGTTAAGAGTAATAACTGTTTTTAAAAGCTTTTGTAAGCCCTAATTTTCAAGATTCTTCCAACTATTTGACATCGTAGAAAAAACATGTTACTGAAGGAGAAGGTGTTAAGTCATTGATTACAAATTTTTTATTTTCATTTCTTACCTTTTTGCACATTTCATAATAGCGTATACAGCCTTGTTTCAATTTATTTCTGTCTAATTTGCTCCAGTGCTCGCTTCTTGGAACTTTTACATTGGCATTCTTGGCTATATTATCTCGATGACGTTTTTATCTCTGTGAATGTTAGCTCATTACGCAATCACGCAGGTTAGTAGAAGTGTCATTCAATTAGAATCTAATGGTTATTATTAGAAAAGTCATGTGATGTTTTCGAGACTTTAACGTTTCTGTGTCAGAAGATATGTGTTTGACATTGCGATTAATTACCAGAAATGATATGATCTTTTAAGAAAAAACAAATTTAATTTCAAAAAGCATCTAACTCAATATTTTTTCTAAATTATAAAAAACTTAAGACTATTCTTGATTCTATACCTTTACTGTTTTACTTACATTCATAGGTGCCTAAATGGTGTTTAGTTTTTGTAATTTTATATCCCATCACAAACCTGTTTTATAACAAAAGCCCAAATCTCTCTCTCTCTCTCTAAGCTGGTTTTTGTATTATTAGTTTTTTTTTTATTATTTCAGCTTTATTAACCCACTATGTCACAGTGATTGTTGTATACGTTGTCCTTATTACCATTATTATCAAGATTACTCAGGAATTGTGCATGACCTCACTTTCGTGATTATTCGATCTATCGACTGACTACCTCAGAATGTAGCTTTTCGTGCTGCGTCATTATATCTCAGGTTTAAATTGTTTTATGTTGTAACTCAGGCAAGCTTATTATTTTACCAGGTTAATTGTGCTTTTTTTCTGTTAATAGTTGAATAAACGGTTATATTCGCAGCTTATGTTGTTACATTTTAAATTAGTAAAACATGGGTGTGTTGCACTAGCAGGCGCATGTATTCAAGAATAAATTAGTCAAGAACAGCAGTGATCTTTGGAAACAGTACAAGAGTCGAAGGACTGCACAACACTTCAGTGGTTCAAAATCAGCAAAAGGAGAGAGAAGACTCCTATTAATTGAGCTGAGTATCTTTTTTGCAAGTTGCAGGAGTTCCCCGTTTCGATGTGAAAACTGAAGTTATAGAATCATTTCATAATATTTTATAACAATAACAAAACCAATTTGAACAAGAACGCTTGTAAATTTAAGTGCGGAAGTTATGCGAAAAACTATTAGAAGTGAATAGAGAGACGAGTTCTGATTCTGTACAAATAAAACATATGAGTAGCAATGAAAACACAAGCTAAGAACTGCTTTGAGGTATTATAGAGTTCAAAAACCATAACTGTTAAAAATCCGACAAGGTTCTGCGAACTCCATGCTCAATGAAGTTCATCCCCTTCTATCTAACAACCGTTTTTGTTTGAACAACTTTAGATCCCTTCACCTTAATCTGGTCCCTACTATACAATAACATCTATTTCACATAGTAAATCCAAAAATGTTGACTGTAACTTCACGATCACGGCTATCTAGAGATGGAGCTGAAGCGTACGCAAGCAGATACGTACTCGGATGCCAAGCACACGTAAACGTTTCCGCATTTACTCGAAGTTCATGCACTCTAAAATGTGAAAATCAAATCTCAAAATCAAAGCTTAAAACACTCCGTAAGATGGTCGTGAAGAACAAGTTGTGACTTGATGCAATTTTAAAAGCAGAATCAACGAAAATAAAAAAGAAACCTTGCACCATTTTCAGCCCAACAAATATCAATAAAATGGTCTTCACTTGCACAGGCTATCATTTGACTGTCTGCACTGAATGAGATCGAACGTAAGGGATAATCCAATCTACAACACATATACGCCATTCTTCATTCAACATAATCAATTAGATGTGAATCATTTTGTACAAGATAGATAGTATTTTGAATTTCTAATCATAAAAAAATTATGCAGTTAATTAAGCGTTGTATTTAAAAACATAATAAACTACGCCAATACATTTATTGGCAATGTCACTTTTTATATAACATAAAATTAAATAAAAAATAAAAAACGAACCTTCCCATATTTGACTCACAGATCAGCTCATTAGCGTCCCAAATCGAGCATACGGCGTCCGATGCACCGACGGCAAAACGTCGACCATCAGGTGAAATGGCCAAACAAACGCAAGTAGCTTGGGCGGGATGTGCTTGCAACATTCGCTGATGTGTCACATCCGGTGTCCTAAAATTTAATGTCCAATCAAAAACACCAGTGGAAAATCTGCTCTGGCACATTAATTTATAGCAAAAAGTTGAAAAGAGATGAAAATATCGGTCTAATTATTTAATCTTACCCACAAAAGGAAGAGCTGAATTTGCAAAATGCACATGAAAATCGTGGACGCAATCTAGTAAACCTGTTAAAGTTATATTAACAAATAATTAAGAGAGTTGGTTACTGCTGAAACAAGTTACGCCATCATTAATACAGAAATTTCGTAAATCACTTAATCCTTCACAGCCATAATTTAAAAAATTTACGAGAAAATGTTGACTTGTCCACTTCCCATCGCCACAAATAAATATTTCCCAGATGGGTCAAATGCAAATTCATTCACTTCATCTTTCAACGATTCAACTTTGATTGTTTTCAAATTTCGACTATCAAGAATACTTAAAGAATCTTCCTTGTCTCCATATGCCAAATATGTACCACAGGGTGACCAGGCCACATTCAAATTCTGCGCTGTAAATGACAAGAAATGAAAAAAAATACTAGGCTGTGAATTATATAATAATTCTAGAAACTTCCTGCATAAAATCTGAAAAGTTTCGGATAATCTAATTCTAATCATTTTCTTCCCATAAGGATAAATCATAAAAGTACATTGGTGTAGACTTCTTATTCAACTAACGGAAATCAAGCGAACAAATATCTGGTTAACGACATAGATATATGATACTTGTAGGACCTTGCCGCGAAATGAAACAAATTTTGGCATTTTTTTAGAATAAATATATCTTTTGATAGCTTTATGACCTCTAACCTTAACATAATGAACCTAAATCAAGTAATTACAAGATACATAAATACGAATTCGCAATACTAGAGAAGCATTTTACCTTTAGTATTTAATCTAGTATGTGTCCGTGCCTGTCGAATATCCCACAATCGAACAGATTTGTCCGCGCTGGCTGAAGCTAACAAATACGGATTTGATGGATGGAAAGCAACTTGATCAACCTGCTCATTGTGACCAAAGCCACGGAAAATTGTTTTCTGCAGCAAAAACAATTTTGCTTCATTTTTAAATCTATTGTAAATTTAATTATACAAAAATAAGGTAAAAATTACTCAACCTTGGACCAAAACTTTACATGATGTTATATTGAGGCACTTTCCTCCGTTTTTTACTATTGATGAGTCTTAACAAATAATTATTTACAAATAAATTATAAAAAAAATACGCTATGAAAATGCTAGCATAGGAATTGAGAAGAAATAAAAATTATTATTAATTATCTAAATATACAAGAAATTATACGTTGGCTTAAACCAATAAAATATTAGTACTTTACAGTATTATACATATTATAAATACTAACGATTCGAAATGATGAATCAAATGTTATCACTGATACACTTTTTTCCGCTCCTGCGGCAAGGCGAGTACCATCACAGTTCCAGGAGACAGTAAGAGGTCGTGGTACCTGGAGTGCAAGGTAATTTTTAGCTTTGAATGCACTTCAGTTTTTTGAAGCATTTAACAATATTCGCATAAAAAAACAAAACAAATATATTCTAAGCTTTTCAGAATCTTTGTTACAGCAGTAATGCTAAATATCTTATGAAACATTGAGTTACAATGAGAAGATTAGAAAGTTAAGGACTTGATGAGAAAGCAGAGAAGATGAGAAGGCTAAGGATTTGATAAAAAGCTGAATTAATAATTTAAAATAACATGTGCGCACCTGCATGTCATATGTTTTAACCCGGTCATTTTTTTTGAAATGTAAAATGGCATCCTGGAATGTCTGGATCTTCGATGATGTTGACGATGATGATGATGATAATCCATTTTTTCGCTGTAATGTTGTTGTGGACTGTTCCCGACTTTGTGTACCCATTTCGTTGTAGATATCAATGGTAACTGCAATTCAGTTTCATCAAACATGATAATTGGAAATTATGCATCAAAGGTAGGAGTTGGATCGATAATGAATGACCTCTGCAATCACAAAAAAATGTATTAAATATGGTGAAAGACAATTTCATGGATCACTTGAATCACAGATGGATAAAAAACCAAATACATATTATTTTATGAAAATCATTGATCTAAAACTGAATTGGGAATTTGTTCCAAGTCGAAATTACGGTAAAATTAAACATTCAAAGAAATAAATGAATAAAAAGTGAAAAAAGAATATTTTGAAATTATGTGGAACAACAAAAAAAAAAGACTAATGAATGGAATAACATAAAATTAGATTTTATTTAAAATTCTAATTAGCATACCGTAATTTTATTTCTTATACTTGTTGTGAAAAATCGTCTACTGTTATATCAAACAGTTGCTGTTCGTCTACTGTTATATCAAATCGTCTACTGTTATATCAAACAGTTGTTGCCTTATACTTGTTGTGAAAAATCGTCTACTGTTATATCAAACAGTTAGTGTTTTATCATTCCCATTACAAATTAGTGATTTATGAAGAAAAAAACTAATAAAAATTTTGCTTCATTTTTCTTCAATTTGAAGAATCGAAAAGAATGATAATAAGAAAGAAGCATATGACATAACAAACACATCCTTATCAGTAATATTTCTAATCATAACTTAATCAGTCAATCAATTGGCAAGTTTGTTCTTTTTTAATGATTAGTTGTTTAACAGTATGATACAAATAAATTTCAGTTATGAACTTTTTCTATCAAATTTATAGTTATTTAACAAAAGTAAAACAAAGATAATAAAAGAGTTGAAATAAAAAATATATTGTACCAAATTATACAACAAATTAACTCAATTAACCTATTAATTTACCGTAAAATATTTTTTTTCGTAGGTTATTCTTTAATTTGCTTTTTGAGATAAAACCTATAATATAATTTGTTATAAATTATGAAAAATTAACCTGTGGTTACCTAACTTTATTGGTACATTAATTATGAAGAAATATAACTTCTAAGTTGAATGCTGAAAGAAATAAAGAAGTTACTTACAAAACAAATCGTAGTGTTTATTTGTAAAAACTAAGAAATTTGAAGTATTAAAATTTCATAATGGATATAAAATAATAATTTCAGTGAATCTAATATCATCCAATATTTATTTATACAAATAGGAGAAAAAGAATGATAAGCTTTCGTAATAAATAAATAAATAAATTCATTCAACATTTTTTTCGCTTTTTAGAGAAAAAACTTCAATTAAAGTAAAGTTAATTACTATAAGTTAATTACTACTATCATCGAAACTAATATTATCAATGATTATTACTTCCTCAAATTGCAATCATAATTTGTAGTAAAAAGCATAAATTCATCGTATCGTATATAATTCGAGGGAAATTCAACTTTTTTTTTCTTAGTTCAAATAAAATCAAAATTCTATTTTTGACTTTTGATCTTCCGTAATCAGATTTTGATTTTATTTGAACAAAAAAAAAAAGTTGAATGAGAAATTATAAACAGAACTTACCAGCTCTGATTATATATACAACGTAATAACAATCAAAACTTACCAGCTTTGATTGTTATTTATCTTGTATACTTATTCATCAAATAATTCCACTGTTAAAATAAAATTTCAATTTGAAATAAATTTCAGATCAAAAAAAGATTAAGGATGTGGTCGTGGTTTCATTTCACAGTCAACGATATTCTATTATTTCAATCGTGGAAAATCGATACTACATGGAGTAAGTAAACAAAAAAATTGCTAAATATGATTCAAATCTATCACATACATATTTTCATTTATCATTAGTTTAACTTATTGATAAAGTTCTAACAATAATGGTAATCATTCAAGATCATTTAGACATATATAATTTCAATCATGAATTCATCTAATAATAATAGATATTGAAAAGTTTGAACATCAATTAATTCTTTAATAATAAAAAATACTTCGGGAGATTTTTTTAGTGAACTATGAACTTTGTTAAAATTTTAAGGAAAATTAAAAATTTACTCTTATCAGAAATGATTATCAGTTGTATTGGAATTTATTTGCTTGGAATATTTTTTGGAGCGATCAAATTCGTACGAAAAAAATTTAATTCAAAAATTTCGAAATCATCATTAACAATAGATAACACAAGGTAAGTTAAGCCTGTTTTATTCATGCATAATATTTTAGATTAAACAATGTTATCAACAAAATAAATTCATTCACATATTAGATTAAGTGTACAAAAAAAGGTAAACAAATAATCTTAAAAATCTTTTTAACTAACTCTATCAATTTTAGATTCTATATACTTATTTCTCTTCCTTCAATTAACCTCAATTTATTTTTACTCTAATTTTGTTTCTAATTACACCATAAAATAATACTTCGCCGGTAATTTATACACATCAAGTAATCAATCATATGTTACTTTACTACTATAGATACAGTAATGATTTTCGATATTGAATTTCTCCCAAACGAGTACTATCTTGTTACATAAGTTAAGCTTGATTATGATTTATTTAACAGCTTAAATGAACATTTAAAAGAACTATGAAAAGTAGAAATGTCAAAGATTTAACCTTTCTTCTCTTTTAAAGTCAAATTCATTCTTTTTTCAGATTTATAAAGATCGCCTGTTATCAAATATTTCTAGTAGCATTATTTATGATACAACTTATCATTAATTATCTCCTTATGCTAATATTTATGTCTTATTCAATTTGGTTTGCTATAGCTGTTGTGTTTGATATTACTACTGGATTTTGCCTTTTTGCATAGATTTAATTAATAAAATGATTGTTAGATTACACTTTACTAATATCATTATCGTTCATTTATGTATGTTACATACATTAACTTACCATATTATATTTACCATACGGTACAATATATTACTGCTAATATATTTAATGCATCTATAAATACTAACTTCTATATGATATGATAGCAATAATGGCAATAATAATAATAACAATAGTAATAATTAATAACGAATGTTCAAATGTTTTACAGCAAATAATTACTATAATTACCAAAAGAAATTTTACGCTTCATCAAACATTTCCTAATGTTTTGAGATTTATAAAGGTGTAAAACAGGTAATTCTCACTAGATTTTATAATTCCAAAATGTGAAAATGGATTTCTGTAAATAATTATTTATCGAAATAAAAATTTCAACATATCTTTGCTTCCATAATTATTTCTCTTTCTCTCCCTCTCTCTTATGAATCCACTAATCAGCCAACCAAAGCTTGATCAACAATTTGTTAAACTAAAACTGGATTGGAACTGAATACACGATAACAATGAATCATATCATTTACTCACTTATGATTCATCCATATTTGATAACGAATATTCTCTGCTTAGTCATCTTCAATATTTTTACTTTGCCAAGTTTGTCAGCTCAAAAAGTTACTTTTTCATTTGTAATTGAAATTTTGATTTAAAAAGAGGTTTGACATCATTTTGAAAAGTAAACAGATATGAGTTTTAATTGCGCCACCGGTATTAATTGGCACCAGTTAATTTTTTTTTTTGAAGATTACCCAATAATTAGTTTTTCACAAATATAATACTTTTATTTATACGGATGATGTAATTAACTTACCTGTTTATTTCAATCAACAAAATTTTTCCTTTCCTGATAGCACTCAAAAAATCTGATAAAAATTTCAGTCAATTTATTGAATTATACTCGTTTTTCTTTATTATCACTAATTAATTAATGAAACTACCAACAATTATCACTTATGCGCGAAATTAATAGTGATAATTCAGTGAATTATATAATAATTACAATTCCTAACTATTTAAGAAGCTATATGATTAAGTAATGAGGTACGTATTGCTTGAAACTAGCCATTTAGTAATGAAACCTACTAAATAATTAAGCAGGTAGATAAGTAATCAAACAAATGACGGAACTTTAACAAATCTGTGAAAACAAAAATTCCTCTGAAGATAGTTAATTCAGAAAGCTAACAAAAAGCTAAAAAAAATACATGAGAAAAATTGAAACGATTTTAGGCATTAAAAAGCAGTGGTTAAGAGACACAAAACATCACTGATACCATGATACAATTAAAGATTGATAAAAACCTACGGACAAGATTAACAGATTAGACCACATTGTTAGCGGGCACGGAAGCATTTCACTACTAGGTTGATAGCTATCTCGCGATATGTGATTTTTTTAGGGTCAGTTCGTGGTCACTCTGTAATTACCTTCTATTTTTATTCTATACTTACTTTGCATTTTCGTTTTCTTTTCAATCTATGCCAATAAATTTTCAATTCTCTCAATATATGTGAATATTATCTAATATATTCAGTATATTTGTTAAACATAACGTTTTCTTTTGCGCATAAAATATTGCAAAATGATGTTATTGGAATTTCACACCAAATTTATTCTTTAATAAAACAATGAAATCTTTTAGCAAAAACTTTCGATGACTTAGATTCTTGTAAGATGCAAAGTTAGCTGTTCTTAATTAGATTAGATTAGATTAGATTGATTTCTTTGAATTAGATTGATCTTTTTACAGAAAAAACAGAAGGATTTTAAATTTTCTAAACTAGGTTTGCCAAAGTCGGACAAAGGTAGTCCAGAAAATAATTTGTACTAAAATTTATATCAATTTTTTCTTTTTTTGAGTGTGGAAAAGATCACAATATATTTATTTGTCCGACTTTCTTAATTTCAAGCAGATAATTGTAAACCTGAATATAAGCGCATAAGCAGCTATCGAAATGAGTTGCGATAATTAATCGCAAAATTAGTCTAATAGATTTTTAATAATCAAATATCATGTCGAGGAAATCAGAAAGATTTAAATTAGTCATGTTTTTGTTTTTGTTCAGACACAGCTATCGGCGTTTTTGATACTGCTTGAATTTAGATAATTTGATTTTTTTTTCCGATTATCTTAATTTCAAT